TATATATATACACACGTATATATACATATACGTGTATATACATATACATATATATATGAATGAAAGAATATCGAGCAAATATTTGCATACAGGAAAACATGAAGACATGAAAACATGTCTTGCCCTGAAACCACAGAACGCTGTATGCCTATGAGGAATATGAATCATGTTTATGGACTTACTCAAGAGCTCTGGAAAACCTCTAAGGGAGTTAATGACGCACTCACACGAGGCTGAAGCAGTTACTGAAAAACAAAACTGAAACAGCGAGTGTAACTGACCATTATTAAAGTATAGTTCTATATTTCACAAGTACATAATACTTAACACAATACACACATAAAACATTAACGACTCACTGACTGTGTATATCACATGGAGTTTTTGGTCAGCTTGAATGTTTGCTATGACCAACGGCTATCTAACAGTAGTAGAAACAGTTAGCTAATAACACAAGAACCCTAATAAAAAATGGAATGACAGCTGAATACAGCACAACGCAAGACCGATAAAAACACTACAGTGTTGGCTAAAAGTTACTGGCAGAACTCTGCAAAGACATTTACTGTTAGAAAACTTAATTAGCAACCTGCTAAACTCAGCTAATGAGAAGTTCTTCAGTATGACTCACGGGCTGAAATATTCAGTAACCGCCGAGATGAAGAAAAGCCGCACGTCGACCCTTGGGATTCTTAACTAAGAACACACCGATAAGTAATTTGAACTACGCTTTCCTCGCTGGGTTCCAGCACAAGCTGCTGCCCTGTAAATTGGAAACAGAAACAAACCCCTTTTCACTTCCTGAACGTTATCCCTCCCGCTACGCCACACAGCCAATTGCATGCTCCAAAAAAATCTCAACAACCAATAGGGATGCGAAGGAGGCGCGATCGTGGCTCAAGAGTTGGGAGTTCGCCTTGTAATCGGAAGGTTGCCGGTTCGAGCCCGGGCACGGACAGTCGGTCGTTGTGTCCTTGGGCAATACACTTCACCTACCGCCTACTGGTGGTGGCCAGAAGGGCCGATGGCGCAATATGGCAGCCTCGCTTCTGTCAGTCTGCCCCAGGGCAGCTGTGGCTACAACTGTAGCTTGCCTCCACCAGTGTGTGAATGTGTGGATGACTGGGTGTGTAAAGCGCTTTGGGGTCCCTAGAGGGGACTAAAGCGCTATATAAATACAGGCCATTTACCATTTACCACAGAAATAATAATAATAATAATAATAATCGCAGCCTCTTTGTTTCATTTAAGTGGGATGATTCATAATACATACATATAAACATTGCTACGAGTACAATGTATGTATTCCCTGCTCCGTTTATATGCAGTGTAGGGAATTAAAGGTTTAATCAAGATGTTTCAAACTAATTTACTCAGCTTTGCCTATCTTCCCTCTCTTACTTTATATCAAAACCACTCAACCTGAGCTGTCCCCCTGACTTCATCCATTATGGTCATCTTAACATCTGCAGCTTGGCCTCCTCTTTTTGTCAGTGCCACCACCTCCAAACCATATATCACAGCAGGTCTCACTATAATTTTGTAAATGTTCCCTTTCATTTTGGCTGCCATCCTTCTGTCACAAATCCCTCCTGACAATCGCCAGGTACTCATAACTGAACTCATCTACCTTCACTAACTTTACTCCTTGCATTTTCATCTATCTAGCTGTCTCTTTCTTTCATTCACACTCATGTATTCAGTCTCACTCTTAGTGACTTTCATTCCTCTTCTCTCCAGTACATACCTCTAGGTGGCTCTTTTTTTTTTTTACCTGCTCCTTACTCTCACCACAGATCACAATTTTTTCTATAAACATCGTAATCAATGAAAAGTCTCGCCTGACCTCATCTGTAAACCTGTCCATCAGTCATTCAACCAAGAGGTTCAGAACAGGATCCTGATGTAATCCCACCCCCATCTTGAACCCATCTGTCACTCTTTCTGCACACCTCACCACTGCCCCACTGTCCTGTCCTCCATCACCACTCTCATATACTTGCCCCTCCTGACTTCCTCATGCAGTACCACAGTTCCTCTCTGGGCTTGGTTATGGCTCATCAACTTATCCGTTTGTATTTTTTACAGGTCTTTACATTCTTATTCTTGATAACTGGTACCAGTATACTTCTCCATTCCTCAGACATCCACTTAAGTTTTTCCTCTATTGCCATATCTTTCTCCTCGATGCAAATCTGAGAAAAGTTCCAACCCGACTCCTCGTCTCCATATCCCTACAGTTTTCATCTCTTCCCTTAGTGTCCAGCCTCAATTACAACTCAGTATAAGCTCCTTCTTTGCCTTTGCTACTTTTCGCTTTACTGCACGTCTAACTTCCCAGTACTCCTGTCTACTTTCTTCATCTCCCTGACTATCCAGTTTTTTATTTACTAACCTACTTTGCACTTCCTTATTCCACCACCAAGTCTCCTTGTCCTTCTTCCTCTGATCAAATGATAAACCAAACACAATCTTTGTAGTTTCCCTTAGCATGGCAGCTTTACTCTCTCTCTGCGCAGTGAATTGATTCTTCCCGCTACAACTTTAACCATTTAATCCTTGGGTCTTCCTTCATTTGCTTTCCTTTCTTGGTTTCCAAAGCACACACTGCTATACGATGCTTCCGAACTACATCCTCCCCTGCCGCCACATTACAGTCTCCTATCTCTTTCACACTGCACCTTCTGCAGAAGATGTCGTCCACATATGTGAACCTTTGTCCACTCTTACACTATGTCCTCCATCTTCTTGCAACTATTTCCATCCTTTTCGCAAAACTAAGGACCATTTGTGCTCGCTCCTTAACATCATACCTACCCAACACTTCCCATGTTTCCTTCACCTTAATGTCCGTTAAAGTCTGCTTTAATCACTAGTCTCTCCTCCTTATTACACTCTCTACCACTTCATCCAACTTATTTCCTCTTTCTCTTCTAACTGGCATCCAACATGTGGAGCATATGCACTGACAACATTCATCATCACCCTTTTGATTTCCAGCTTCAAACTCAGTATCCTGTCTGACACTCTTCCCCCACTGTTCACATACTCTTCTTCCAGATTACCCCTACTCCACTTCTCTTCCTATCTATACGAGAACAGTTTGAATCTACCTCCAGTGCCCGGGGACTTGCTTCCTCTCCATCTGTCCTCCTGCACACACAATACATGTACGTATCTTCTCTTCA